GTCTGGAATGTGTCATAGATACATCGTCTGGAATGTGCCAGACGATAGATACATAATCATTATGCAAGATCTTGTAACTTAGATTTCTGGTCTGGCTTCGAAGACGTATTTGTTTCATATAAAGTTCTCCTTTTTGATATTTCTTTTTCTTTTGACATCAACAGACACCAATAAACCGGTCTGTTTACAGAGCAAAACATTTTATCAAAGTACCCATCCTTGTTGGCTGAAAATATGACAAGCGAGCGTACACCTCTGATTGGTTCATATGTGGGCACGGAAGGAGATGTAAAAGACAACTGGTGACAACTGCATCGTTTCACTCTAAAATTTGCAACTTATAACCAAGTCTCTGTTTGATAGTGAATGCGTCAGCTAGCATTTTGTACATTTATTTAATTGCGGATGATAATAATAACAATACTTTATTTAGTAATTTAGGCTACTGGACCATATTACAAAATACAAGTACATATTTTGTGTGCCATGGTGTAAAGAAGTTAAATATGGTATTCATCATGAGTATACATACTGTATTTCCAATAATCGATGCATTATTTTTAACGGAGTTATTAGGTATATTATATGCCATTCCTCTAAATTACCAAACAATGTCTTAGGAAAAGCCGAATTGAGATAGTAAGAAATATTTCTTATAATTAATGTATTGCTATGCAGGCCTGCCCATAAGGCAAGGCAAATGAGGCAAGAGCCTTGGTCCCCGCGCTTCTCAACAATGCAATTGTTTTACTTGGGGCTCCGCACTCATCGCTTGCTACCTTGGGCCTCGAATATGCTAGGGCCCGGGCCTATTAATTCATAAGGGATACACATCTTTTACAGACGGAAAGAGATAATTCACTTTCATTCAGGTATTTCTTTCTTAAATGACTATAAGCTGGGCAAATACAAACAAAATAAAATTTATCTTCTACCTAATAAGCATTAATTTTCCGGCATAACTCACAATGTCTATTTTTTTTTCTCAATTTTTTATGCTTACCTATCACTTTTTTTCAGCGATTAATCTCAGCACCTAAGTTTAGCAAGTAACATCCTAAGAGAATATGGTAATCGACATGAAATGTATTTTCCGGTTATAATTCGTTTTGATACATGCTATAATAAACACATTAATTAGGTTTGATACATGCTATAATAAACACATTTATGTGAATTGTTAATATCACTTTGCTAGTTTTGAATGTCGAATACTTAATTCTTTGCAAAAGTGGTGAAAAAATGTGTTTCGTCTCCAACATCTTAATGTCGCCAAATAATCCCCCAAATCGAAGCGAACTACCACGTCTTTAACTTTAGTAGCCCAGGTGGCAGGGTTAGTTTCATCTTTTCAATATTAAATAACATTTGTGTGGGTACCTAATTAAAGGCATTCTTTGAAACGTCAACCAGTACAAAAATTTACAAGGGACAAAGTGGGTATCTTCCACAGTCCGCTAGCACAATTGCATTATTGGTGGCTTTAGGAACACCTAAATACTGTTTCCAAAAGTTGCATTCAACATTTTCAATATCTCTATCAAACTTCATATCCGCAAATTTCTGACCCATATCAAACAATTGGTTTTATTTCAGAATCAAACTTTTTTTAAAAGCATCCTCTACACTAAAACAGCCAACTCGTTTTTGATAATTCAAAATCCTTGAAGTTGCTTGCTTTGCCTAACACGCTAGTATCTACTTAGGTCTAGTCCAAACCATCTTTGGGGCGAAAAATAAATCCATGCATATGTAATAATGCACAGAATCAAAACGATTCTTTTTGAGAAGCCATACTTCCTTTTGCTTGAGATATATCATTTTTCCCAGTTTTATAACAAATGTTTCATAGCAATTTTTTGAGGGAGGGGGTTCGTAGCAGTTTTATTTTATCAGCAACAGCAGCGTAAAATATTGCAAAAATATCATAACTACTGTTATTAGAAAGTAAGGTATTATAAACTTATAATCATACTTACAATTATATGTGATTAATTGAAGTCGCCAAATATATTGCTACATTATTGCATATAATAATGTGTAAAGCTTTGTCCTACAAAGCTTATTGGAGGCAATTCCTGTAATTCGCGATACTTTTGGATGAAAATTGATAGAAATTATTTAGTTCTTACTTAGGAATGTAGAAATACTTAGTACTTAAGACAACGAATCCTTCATATTTACTTTGATAGAGACCCATTTAATCATTTATATATTGGTTTCATATTGACCAGTAGAAAAGTCAGTAGAACACGGACATCATTAATATTTGAAAATCAGTTCAAATTTGACGAACAAGGCCATTACTAATCCATAACGTGGCCATGTAATGATAGATTACGCTTCATACAATTTCCAAAAACATCCACATTTAATTTTGAAAAGAATGAATTTTTTTTTATGAAAGGAGAAATTTCTACACGACCAGAACAACAGATCTGTAAATTTTATACTTCTGAAGTTAAGTGAGAGAGCATCGTTACAACGAATTTGGAAAACTGACGTCAGCTGAATAGCTTTCACGTCACATACAGTGTAAGAAAGAATTTTGACAGGTATTTATAATCTCTCTCTCTATCTCAGTATATATATATATATATATATATATATATATATATATATATATATAGATGCAATAAACTGACGACGAACAGTACGAAACTAGTAACTAACTAGCCTAAGCGCTTTCGACTCTTAATGAGTCTTTTTCAAAGGCAAATACAAAACATAGTTACGACAAACAAATAAACACAAAAACGTTGTGTTTGTAAACCTCTACATTTCTATCTTCACATGTGCTAAAACTATAAATACAACCAGCTTGTATAGACTAGTTGCGGAAACTGAAAACGTTGTATAATTCCCTAAAAGTCTACAAGCCAAAGCGACATCTATTTTTACTTTGTGTACATATGTAACGCAAATTATATCCCGGATATTTGATTCTATACCGGTTATTCTTATAGTAAAAATTGAAGGATAATAAGAAGATTTAGAAAATGTTAAATTCTACTAACAAACGTGACAAATTTCTACTACCTGACAAACGTGATCCCTTGGTGGATCCAGTACGCTTGAGAGGGTTGTTATTCGCCATATGATTTGTATTCTTTATATATATATATATATATATATATATATATATATATATATATATATATATATATATATATATATATATATATATATATATATATATATATATATAAATATCGGAAATTTTATTAATTTCCACTTTTCTTGATTTAAATATTTTCTTGACAGTTATGTTTATTACCGACATTTTGTTTCAATAAATGGCAGACATATGTATGGCAAGTATTTATGTATGTAAGAATATGTCTTAATCTGCGTATATGTGTTTATATGTATCTATATGTACCGATGTATATTTGTATGTATTTATGTACTTATCCATACATGTGAGTATTTAATTACATATGTAAGTAAGTATACATTTATGTACAAATGAATGTATACGCGTCAAGTATTTTAGTATATTGTCACAAACTGGTTTTTGTTTGAAATATTTAGCCTAAATGATCAAATTATTTTAAAGAATAGTTTTAGTGTTTTTTTCTCATTAATATTATAATTATTATCGTGTACAGTGCCTGCTCACCCATTTAACAGTGTCACCATCAGCAACATGCAGAGCCTGCAATCCAGCGGGGAACTTTGTTAGTGGGCAGTTGTTTTCAATGTGTGACATGGTATAAAGAACTCCACAGGAAAAATGAAGAGTTAGTGGCCTGGTCCCGTTAGACAAGGTTCACTGCACAACGACCCTGTCCTGTCCGAAAGCGGTTCAGTGTGGTCCATAGATTAGGGCAGACAGATGGTTCAGCTCTGAAGGAGTGGTTTACAACATTTGTTGAGGACCAATCAACTCTCCATGATGAAATATTCACCAGCAACGGATCTAACCAGATTGAGCGTCTCAGCATCATCCGCACTGCTGGATGTCAGGTGATGTCCATGTGCAGTTGAAGTTTCTCACTGGCATAGACCTTAGTCAAGACATTTGCAGCCATGGTAAAGGAGTAGGACGTAGTGTTCCAGAGATTATCTGCATTGTTGTGTTGTGCTGGACATCAATTAGTATATTTTGGGATGATTGCGCTCAGACAAGAACGTAATACTCGGCTGTCAAATAACAGCCTAAGTTCTAATGTCTTGAGTGTCTGAGCACTAGCACTCCAGGTTGAGCCATGCAAATTGTGGAGTAGGTTGTTTCGAGTGCTAAGTTTTGCTGCAGTTTTCATTAAGTGGTTGTAGAATGTCATTGATATCTCCAGAGTCACACCAAGGCATGTTGGTGTGGGGTCGTGTTTTGTTTGCTCTCCATCGAGAAGGATAAAGCTCACGGTTCTCATTTGCATTGTTATGGTGGAAGGCGCTGGAGACTGTCTTTGTTGTTTGTTTGTTTTTACACTGTAATATATATATATATATATATATATATATATATATATATATATATATATATATATATATATATATATATATATATATATATATATATATATACTAATCATCTGTTCTTGGACAGCTGCATTTGCTGCACAAATAAATGGTTATTGTTTCTATGTATACACTGGATTTCCAAGTGTCTGCCTGGTACAGGGTTTGGCTTGGTGCATTAATCAACCTGAATCTTGTTTCCAAATAGATTTTTATTGGAGGATCAAGTCCAAATGCCAATATTTTCTTCCATCAGAATACAAGTCCATCAATTATAATTAGCAGAATGAAATGGATTATATCATAATGCACCATTGTAGGAAGTAAGTTTAATTTCGTTATTCTATTTAAATAAATAAATCTATTGTAAATCCATGCATCATAATTAAATGTCTTTCAATGATGAATCAATATTCTAAAATTCTGTAGCCTGCGTTAAGTGATTATGTTGGTAATTAGTACAGACGGACCCTTGTTTGCATGGCGCACAAGGGGAGATTTATATTGGGTACACAAATCCCTTTATATAAACGACTGCTCTGGTGGCTTAGGTGGTTAGAGTGTCCGCCTCTGATGCGGTATGTTGCGGGTTCGAAACCAGTCACACCACAGACTTATGAAAAGGACACAAATGTCTTTCAAGGAGATTAGCATTAAGAGGTTAGTGTTGGGACTGGTTTGCCTGGTGTCAAGATAATGTAATTTGGTCGGACATCATGCTACATGTCTCCAGACATTACTATAAACTGCCACACTGCAGACATCGTAGCGATATGACTAAAAAATAGTCAAAGCTACTTTAAAAGTCCCAATTACACACACACACACACACACACACACACACACACACACACACACACACACACACACACACGTTATGTTTAAATATCTCCCAATAATGGAATAAGTTAGTTGTGAGAAACATGCCAGCTCACAGCAGCTGCCTATGGTTAAGACTATGATGTTTTACACCTGGTGGAAAAAGCAAAGGCAAATTCACATTGCAGCTAGCGCCATGCTACATTTTCGATCATTGGCGGAAATGGGTTTAACGTAGTCAGATTATGTTATTTTGTGGCACCTTATAAACTAAATAAGTGGAACAATGTTAAATATGTTATTCATTGTAACTTGATATAATTATGTTAGTGGGTTAAACGCAAGTGATATCTGTCACGAAAACGGTGTTAATAGCTATTTTTATATAGAATTGCGCGATTATGGGGTGTGTAATACAGGGTCATAACCATAAATCATTAAAAAAGCATGCAATTCACAATGGGGGACATCATTATTTAGCCATTTGTAAGCTGCACAGCCCTTAAGCCTTCTCTATTTCATTACCCATTAAACTCTGTATTAATAAATTATAACATCAGATGGTAGAAAAATGGGGAATATTTTAACATAATGTGCTCCTTATTCTAATGAAAACATGACATTGGCAAAACCGAAGTTAAAGTTTTACTTTTGGATGCTTATAACCTAACATCAATATATATATATATATATATATATATATATATATATATATATATATATATATATATATATATATATATATATATATATATATATATATATATATATATATATATATATATATGTATGTATGTATGTATGTATGTATGTATGTATGTATGTATGTATGTATGTATGTATGTATGTATGTATGTATGTATGTATGTGTGTGTGTGTGTGTGTGTGTGTGTGTGTGTGTGTGTGTGTGCGTGTGTGTACATCAAAAGACATCGACTATACTTCACACAGTAGCAACACAATGGTTGTTGGGGTGACAGGTGACAAAGGGGAGATTTGTGCTTATTTTTGCAGATTAAATTTTCATAGCATTTTACCTTCACCTTAGTGCAAGGGAGGTAATTCTTCACAAACGTCTTCTGGAGAGGGAGTTCGGCAACTGAAATAAAAGTGTTCTTCTTAGTGGGCAGGGGTCAGTTTTATATACAAATTTAATGCCGCAATCAGTGGCTTAGTACCAAAAAAAACCAACATAAAAACAATTACTCAAGTGAGGTCAAGAAGGTCCATATTTTGAGATACCTATATTAAAACAAAGTATAAAAATATTATCCACTTGACCAGAGAAGTCAGTGGCAGTTCATAGCAGATGAAGTTTAAGAACCCCAACCCCAAATTTATACCTGCAATTTTTATGTCCGAAGGTCATTTTTGATACCATGTGGTGCTGACAGTGCAAACACAAGCCATTTTCCTAGATGACAATTATGCCAAACAGTGTGTACTCAACAGGTTCATGCAGTTGAAAATAGTTGTTATCCAAGCCGTTTTTGAGATATTCTACTTTCCCCAAACTCACGTGATTACCGGTACTTCTATTGGAGGCTATCTCGTCTTCCTAGCCAACTATTGGTATTTCACTATCAACGAGGAGCCCCGAGTGGCCGAGTGGTCTAAAGCGCTGTCCGTTACGGATCACTGCCATCTCACCTTTGTCTGCGTAGGTTCCAGTCTAGGATTCGGCGAATGTAGATATGTGAGAAAGCTTGCCAGTAGCTTCTCGTGGGTCGGTGGTTCATTCCGGTGACTGCCCGGTTTTTTCCTCCACCATGAATACTAGCCGCCATGAATAGTCTATCGTGTGCTGAAAAATGGCGTTAAGCCCAACAGCAACAACAACAGCAACAGAGTAACTATGGAATGTGTACGTGCCTGACATAAATTTCAAGAACAACACAATCCCGAAACATCTAGTTCACAAATATATCCATATCTTTAATTAGTAAACAATAATACCTGAAAAAGTCCCACCATAGCCTTAAGTGAAGAAATTTGCCAGGAGCCAAATTACGAAACTGGACCCTGCCACCTTACCAAAGTAGAGACGCTACTAAAGAACCTTGCCCCTAGGCACCTCGAACCCTCGCGTAGCCACTGCTGACTGTTCCACTTACCAGATGCATAATTACCAGTACTGGAAAACAATTTTATTTGCTTTCGTGCTGCAGGTTAAGAAAATAGCAGGCTTATGGTAAGTACTAAAAAAAATCAATGTATGTAGCTAACATTAAACTAGTGTTATTCTTGTAAGTAAAATTAAGGAATATTTTTAGACTAGATCATGTCCTTTCTTACATGCCCTAATGGGTAAATACTCAAGCACCTAGAGATAAATAACAATATTAAAATTGTGTGGTCTTTGAATCAGCGACAATATCAATTAAACTGTTCAAGTAACCCTCGAGTATGTCTATTTTTAATTTGTTTTAGATATAAATATAATTCACACCAAAATAAGTAATATATTCAGTAATTAATTAATACTCTTCCTCACACACACGTGACCCGGCAAAAGCCAAAATAAAGACAGCATCAAGCTGCTGATAATGGTATTAACAAGAAGCGTATTAACGGTCACAAAACTCCCCTAGCATCTAGCATTCATTGTCCGGTTACAGCGTTTGGATTATAGCTAGCAAAAATAGATAGATAAATAAATAATAAATAAATAAATAAATAAATAAATAAATAAATAAATAAATAAATAAATAACGTTGAAGATATATTGTCATCGTCATTAAAATTTTATAAGTTTTTAGTTGAACCATTCCGTATGAACTATGTCAAATAAAGGGCAGACATGTCAAAGTTTGCGCATTGGGAAGGGACCGCTTTTGTATGATACTCCTTAATATCCATATATAGAGATGATTTTGAAATCTGAAGGCGCTATCACAGACGCCCATGAACAGATAACTGTAAGCATGAGATGCATGTCAAAATTACGAAGATGACTGGCACCATGTACATTTTTCTAGTAGTTAGAATACCTACTACGAGGCAAGAAACTTAAACAGACAACCATGTGCTTGTTGATAACAGTTTTAAAGCATTATTTGAATAAAAAAATTGCTCAAGAGAGGTGCTTGTTACTTTGAGTAAAGAAGTTGTAGTCTGTCTCTACCTCATTGGTGTCATCATACGCTTAATCAACATGGATTATATTTCAGATGTTTACTAATCAGAGATATGTTGAAAGTTTTGCAAAAATGGGAGGTTAATGAATGAGCTAAAGTGCGAAATACTAGATAAAAGGTGAGTGTATGTGTTTATGTGTGTAAGTGTGTGTGTCTATGTGTGTAATTTGGATTTTTAAAGTAGCTTTAAACATTTTCAGTCAAATCACTACAATGACTGCTGTGTGGCAGTTTATAAAGAGGTAGGATCATGTCCCACCCAGTCAAATTGTTCTGACACCAGGCCAACGTGACCTAACGCTAACCTCTTAATTCTGAGCGCCTAGCTAGGCAGCTGCTTCTACCATTTTATGTCTTTGAAATTACTCGGCCGGGGTTCAAATCCGCTACCACCCGCATCCTATGGTGGACGTTCTAACCACTGAGCCACCGGAACGGTAACTATTGAAGGGAGGTCGTTTGCCCACGTACGTATTATCACTCTGTTAGTTCTTTACATTCTTAATTATTTTCAATTTGGAAGTCATAACTATTTAAATTATATATATATATATATATATATATATATATATATATATATATATATATATATATATATATATATATATATATATATATATATATATATATATATATATATATATATATATATATATATTCAATATGGAATTAATCGGTGAACAGTGCCATTTAGGCTTTACCAATATCAGACGAAGAGAATTAACCCATGGCTGTGGATGTACATGTTCGTTTGAGTATGCATTCCTAAGAGTCTTAGAACAGTTACGAATGCATAAGAATGATATGTTTCAAGGAGTTAATCGATTCTTCTCCATGCATAATTTATTGAAACGTTTTATAGGATACACTTTTTTGAATATCAGCAAATGACCAGGCAATGAAAAAGAAAATTAAATTCGATTGTACATAAAAGTATAAAACACAGTTAAATTTCTATTTTTGTGTTAGCTAATGTTAGTGTGTATGCTGAACCACATGTCACAAACCAGGTCTAAAGACTAACCAAGGATTAAAATGTCATTTGATATACATGCTTTGTTTTCGTCATGTCATTCAAAGCAGATGGCTAACTTTGATTTGAAATGGTTGTAAGAATCATGATTTATATGATAATTGGCCTATCGCCACTGGTCAATCATGCTGAGCCATTAAACCAATCAAAACGTAAAGTAGACACACTTCGAGTCATTACTTTCGTCCGCCATTTTCCTAAGACAAGCAGCTTGTGGCAGTAATGAAATAATTGTGATTAATATTTACAAACTTTGAAATCTTTTTTTTTTCTCCATCAATAAGGGTAAAGAAAAGTCAGTGAGACCCATGCAATTCTTACAATCGATATCCAGTTCGTCTAAATAGAGGAAATATATTTATTCCTTTCCCAAAACAGACAAAACTTTGATGGATAAAGACTATTTTGTGGTCGCGTGTATGATCATCTGAATATGGAAATAATTGATGATAATAACATGTTTCTTTGCGTAAAGGTATGTAGAAAAGCATGTCATGTTGATGGTTTGAAAGACAAAAAAAAAATAAATATATAAATGAATAAACGTTTCTAGAATATGAGTGTAGAACCCCTATATTTCGGGCTTTGATGTATATTTTTTTCTTGTACAGACTGCATAATCGAAG